GAGCGTGTGCGTTAGCCTGCGTGTGCCTACGGGGGTTTTACCTCTCCGGAGGCTGCAATTTCTGGCTCTAGAGAGCCAGTCTCAGGAGGCGGCATCTGAGGCGGGGGTCCTCACCTTGGGCTGCAGTGGGTGGGGAACCAGGCACGCAGGCAGCTCATAGGGCAGATTGGAACAGTGGGGAGTGACTGTCTAGAGGGGTGGGTGACACCCGGACCAGACAAGCGCCTGGTGCAGAAGGATGGATAGAGCCTCAGAGAGACAGAGGAGGGGACCTATGGGGCGGCTTCAGGGAGTAGGCAGGGCCCAGGGGCAGGAGGAGAGCCAGAATGAGGGGCAGGAGCTAGGAAGATGACAAAGGGACAATCTAGAGGTAAGTGGGCAAGGCTGAGATGCAGCCAGGACCTATCTGGGGGGAGCGGACTGGCAGCCCAGCCCTTGGGGAGCAAGGCTAGGGGTCTGGAGGGCCCAGGCCTCCTGTGCCCATCAGCTGGCACAGGCTGACCTCCCCCTGGACACCTAGGAAGGGAGGCCACAGACCAGGAGGTTGCTGCCTGGCCCTCCGCTGGCAGACCGTAGGTATGAGGAGTCGGCCTGTTCTCTGGAACTTGAACCTCCCTCCCCCAGCCAGGGGTGCTGCATGAGGGGCCGCAGGGGTGACCGCATGACAATCAATATCCAGGAGCACATGGCCATCAACGTGTGCCCAGGGCCCATCCGGCCCATCCGCCAGATCTCTGACTACTTCCCCCGCCGGGGACCCAGCCCCGAAGGGGGTGGCCAGGGCTTTGGGGAGGTCCCTGCTGGGCTGGCTCCCTTGGCCCTGGCTCCCCCTGCAGCCCTCCTTGGGGGCACCACGCCTGAAGATGGAGCTGAGATGGACAGCTATGACTCAGACGATGCCAGTGAGTCTGGGGGCTTGAGGGACCCAGGGTGCTGAAGGGGGGGGGCCTCCGGGCTGGTGGGAAGCGGTTGGGGCCCTGCTGGGTTTGTGAGTGTGGGGGAGGGGGGAGCAGTGGGCGCTGCCACCACAGCTGCAGTCAGGGTGGAGATTACAGCTTCAGCAAGGCTCAATATTCAATATTTCTGCTGAGACACTCAACCACCCACACAGCCCCAGTGGCAGCCCAACCAGGGACCTAGATGCACACACTTGCAGGCTAACAGACACAGAGGTGCACACACAGCCGGCCGGCCCGCCCGTCTCTCACACACACCTGTCTGACACACTGCCTCACGCTAGCTTGTCCCTCTTCTCCAGCCGCCCTGGGCACTCTGGAATTTGACCTCCTCTATGACCAGGCCTCCTGCACCCTGCACTGTAGCATCCTTAGGGCCAAGGTGAGTGCCCTGACCTCCAGCCCCAGCTCTGCTTGCCCCCTCCCCCACCGGGGGGGGGGAGATTTTCCATCCTCCCTTCCCTTCCTCAGACTGGAACCCTGTTCCCCTCTCCATGCGCCCTCTCCCCCCCAGTACCCTTTTTCTTGGCTCTCCATGCTCTGCAGGGGTGGGGGGCGGGGCGAGCTGGGAGCTCACAGGCTTCCCCCCCTAGGGCCTCAAACCCATGGATTTCAATGGCCTGGCTGACCCCTATGTCAAGCTGCACCTGCTACCTGGAGCCTGCAAGGTAAGAACTTCCACCCCGCCCCAGCCCAACCCACTGGTGGGTCTGTCCCCAGCCTTCCTTTGCTTTCAGCCTCTGTGTGTCCTGAGAACTCTTCGTCCCCACACTCAGGCCAATAAACTAAAAACGAAGACTCAGAGGAACACGCTGAACCCCGTGTGGAACGAGGACCTGACGTACAGTGGGATTACGGACGATGACATCACCCACAAGGTGCTCAGGTGAGGGACCCATCTCCCCTGCTGCCCGTGATCCCAGGTTAGCACCTCCCCTGGAACTGCTGTCATTGGAACCGTCTGTGGTAAATCCACCTCCCATTAGCCCCTCTCAGATAGATGCTCAAGAACCATCAGTGGCTCCCCATCCCCTCCAGCACAGGCCAGACTATCTTCCTGGCCTACCCCCAAACTATCTCCTACTGTTCTTCCAACAGAGGACTGCCCTTCTCTGACCTATCGGGGGTGGGGGGGGGGTCCATTACTCCTAACCAATGCCTGTTGTCTCTTCTACCTGGAAAGCGCTCCTCGCGTCCCCCCTTTCTGCCACCCTAAACTCCACTCATCATTTGAGGCTCTGCCTCCTGAAAGCTTTCCTTTGTCACCGACACCCCTTCTCAGAGCCCCAGACTTAGGTCAGGCCTATGCAGTGGACATCTGCCCCTTCTGTTGCCTCTGTCCCGCTAAGATCTCTAAGGAGTGAAGTCTTAGGGGACAGGAACTTGCTCCGTCATCCCAGGAGGTGGAGCTGTGGGGAGAGTCGTCCCTGGTGAGGAGTGAAGGGCAGCAAAACCCAGGTTCCTGAGAGAAGGTCTCCTTTGGTTTTGGGCAGTAGGGAGCCATCAGGGCCGGGGCACCGTGGGTCAGGGCCGTTTCAGCACCACCTTGGTGCTGGGTGAGGGGTGGGCTGGAGGTGGCAGAGGCAGAAAACAAAAAGGCTGGCCCCATATTTCAGATGTGAGAGAAAGCGGCCTAAATCTCTGAGTGCTCCCCAGTGCCCAGCCCTGGGCCACGCGTTCTTACATTTCTTCCTTGCACTTGATCCTCAGAAGAGCTTTAGGAGATGGGCCATCATTCTCTCCATTTCAGAGGTGGGAATTGAGGTGTAGGGAGGTGACTTGCCCAAGGTCATTGGTTGCTAGGAAGTGGCAGAGCTGGGACTTGAACAGCTCTACGTGACACAGCTATTCAGAGTGTCACAGTGGCAGGAAGTGCAGGAGGGGATGACAGAAGTCACAGCAGCCATTCCTTAGCTCTGGGCTCAGGTGTCTCTCCCACGCGGGCTCCCTGCAGGACAGGAGCTGCAGGGGAGGGGTGAGCTCCTCATCCACCTGCCCAGGGCTCCTCCAGGCCCATCTGGCTCCGACATCCTGAATCCATGATTCACATCTGCCCGTGCATACCTGTGCATGTCCAGCTGGATCCTGTCCCCCAGGCCCTGAATGGGGGCAGGGACGAGAAGGGGCCCCAAGATGGGTGAGGGCTTCCTGAAGTAACTGAGCATGTCCTCATGGACGGGGCCAGCCTGGGCAGCTGGAAAGAGGGGAGCCAGTGGGACAGCGTGTGTGAAAGTGTGCGCCAGGCCTGGGCTCGCCAGCCTGAGATGCCCGTTTTACAGGTGAGGTGTGGAGTGTTCAGGGCAGAGCTAGGAGCAGCCGCAGGGGCTCAGGGTCTAGCAGAGGCCCTTTCTTCCACAGAGTGGGCTTAGCCCCTGGAGGCCCTGACCTTGCAGCTACCATCCGAGGCCCTTTCTCCCACATGGAGCAGGCTCGGCCCCCGGGGCCCTGACCTTGCCATTCTCACCAGGATCTCCGTGTGTGACGAGGACAAGCTGAGCCACAACGAATTCATTGGGGAGACCCGAATACCCCTTCGCCGCCTCAAGCCTTCACAGAAAAAGCATTTTAACATCTGCCTCGAACGCCAGGTCCCGGTCCGTGCGGGGCAGTAGGGTGCCCAGGGAGGGGCCCTGTGGAGGCCAGGTTTCTAGAAGCTTCTCTTTGACCCCCCCCCCCAGCTGGCTTCACCCTCTTCCATGTCGGCAGCGCTGAGGGGTATCTCCTGTTACCTGAAGGAGGTGAGTGAGGCACCTCCCAAGGGCCAGTCTGGGTGGGCAGTGGTGAGGAGTCAGGCTGACTGACTGACCCGTGTCTGCCCTGAAGCTGGAACAGGCGGAACAGGGGCCTGGGCTGCTGGAGGAGCGTGGACGCATCCTGTTGAGCCTCAGCTACAGCTCTCCACGCCGGGGGCTGCTGGTGGGCATCGTGCGCTGTGCCCACCTGGCTGCCATGGACGTCAACGGCTACTCTGACCCCTACGTCAAGACGTGAGCCCTTGTACTGCCCCAGGCCCACCCTCCCCTCCCCAGGGAGCCCGATCCCTGCCCCATCCCCCTGGGGTGTGGCCTGTCCCCTGCCACCCCACTCCCTGCCCTGCCCCTCCTCCTCTGCAGGTACCTGAGGCCAGATGCAGATAAGAAATCCAAGCACAAAACAGCTGTGAAGAAGAAGACCCTCAACCCGGAATTTAATGAGGTAAACGCAGCAGGGACCAGAAATGGAGGGGAGCGGGGCTGGGGCCTGGTGCTTCATGGACCATGTGGCTTGTCCTGTCCCAGGAGTTCTTCTACGAGATGGAGCTCTCTGCTCTGGCCACTAAGACACTGGAAGTCACAGTCTGGGACTATGACATTGGCAAGTCCAATGACTTCATCGGTGAGGACACAGCCTATGGGGTGGTGCTGATGGAGCGGCGGTGGGGGTGGGGGCTCCGTGGGTGGCTGTGAGGGTGGTGAGCGGGCCCTGATGTTGCCTCTGTGGTTCCCAGGTGGCGTGTCCCTGGGGCCAGGCACCCGGGGAGAGGCCAGGAAGCACTGGAGCGACTGTCTGCAGCAGCCAGATGCAGCCCTGGAGCGCTGGCACACCCTGACCAGCGAGCTGCCCCCTGCAGCTGGGGCTCTGCCCTCAACCTGAGCCAGACCACGGTGCCCAGCACAGGTCCCTAGGGCTGGGCCCAGCACCCCACCTTCGCACGAGTGTGTTGCACGTTTACATGGGGTGGACGCCCCACCCCACCCTGCACTACCTGTCATCTCGTGAGGTCTCTGTGACTGTAGGTCTGTCTTCTTGTGAGGGACGTGGGGATCTGTACTCACATATGCAAACTTTCTCTGCCTGACTCGCTGCTACATGCAAATATGCAAACGTCCATCCTGTGCACACCTGGGATCCTGCCAGCGCCCCTCCCCAGGCCCCAGCTGCTGCTGCTGCCCTCCAGCCTCTCCAGGCTGCCCGTCCCCTCCACCCACAGGGAGGAGGTCGGATTAGGAGGGGTTTGGAGGAGGAGAAAGTGTCCGAAACAGAAAAGGACAAAGAACAAAAAAAGAGCCGCTCACTCCTTTAATACAGAATCTTTGTTCAAACACACGCGCCACCTAGCCCTGGTCAGCTGCCCTTTTAAATGGTGGGGGGTGGGGAGGCGGGCCGCAGGGTCTCTGCCTCTGAGGAGGTAGATGCTCCCGCCACTCACTTAAGTAACTGTCCCCTGGATGGGCCTGGGCTGTGAGGGCAGGGCCCTTCCCTCCCTGGTCAAGGGCCACCTTCCAGGGGACATCTGTGCATGTTTACGCCTTTCCTGATTGTGTCAGTGGCCACAGCACGGCAACTGGGCATCAATAAACGTTTTCGCGGAAGCCAGGGGCTTGTGTGCTGGCACAGGGGGCACTGGGCGGGGCATGGGCAGAGGGGGTCACTCCGGGATGTCAATCACCAGGTCGTCATCCCCGTCCAAGGCATCATCCCCGCTGCCGGCATCGCTGAACATCTGCCGAGGTACAGCGCTCAGGATCGTGGGCGGGGGCATCTTGGGGGGAGGCAGTGGGGCTAGGGCTGCCCCCACCCCGGCCCCAGAACCCCGGCCAGGAAAGGTCAGCGGCCCTCCCACAGGGCAGTCAGGGGGTCCCACCGACATCTGCAGCAGGAGGGGAGAAGAAAAAGGGAAGGCTTGTCAGAGAGGACTGGGCCATCCAGGAGGGTGCACTGCCCCTTAAGGCAGCTCTGGGGGGTGGAGAAGGGGTAAAGGCTCGTTCAAGGGGGAGGGGACCCAGGAGGGCCAGCCCTGCTGGAATCGGGGCCTGCCCCACCTCAGTTTCCTCAGCCTCCAACCAGCAAGTGCCTGGGAGTGAGGGGCAGTGATGGAGGAGGTGATTGGGGGGAGGGGGGAGGTTATAGGACACGGGGAGGGAAAGGCTGGGCCTGGCCCTCACCAGCCTGAAACGGCCATTAGAGCCAGTCAACCTGGAGGCCTGGAAACCTGCCTGCCCGCCCGCCTCTGGGCACGTCTCATACCCCTGGCTCCTCTCCCTCCTGCCGTGGGGCTCCTGGCTCAGTGGGGCTCCTGGCTCAGTGGACCGTGTGCTAGGTCCTCGCCCCCCCACCACAGGAGGCTTCTCACAGCCAGGAGGGGCCCGTCCTTGGGAGTCCCCGTCTCCTCTCAGCTCACCTGGGCTACAGGACCAGCCTCCTAACGACTCCCTGCCTTCAGTCTCTCCCCGATCCAGCTCCTGCTCCACACTGCAGCCAGAGTGAACTTTCTAAAACAGACCTGAGCGGGTCACTCATCTGCCCGAGGGCCTCAGGCTCCATGCTGCCCAGGGACAGGCCAGTCCCTCCACTCTGTGTCCTCTGCTATGTGTCACAAGTCCTGCTTTGTCCGTCTAAGGCTGGACAGTGGCCTGTGTCCTGGCTGCCCTGCCCGCCCCACCCTACCAGGTCCTTTCAGTCCTCCCCAGAGAGCTCCGTGGGGCTCATGCTTCCCCTGTGAGCACAGACTGAGCACCTGCTAATGGGCCGTCCTGACCGCCCTTGAAGGGGAGAGGTCACGGGTCGGAGGAGAAAACCAAGACTGCCAGGTCCCCAGTGGGCAGTGTCTAATCCTGCGGGGGTGGCAGGAAAGCTTGTGTGGTCTCCGTGGCCCTTCTGATCATCTTAGCCCATTTGGCCCTCAGGGTTTACCCACTGCTTCTCAAGGAGCTCCCCCTCACTGGTGTTCCTGGGGGGCCAGAGTGGCTTTTACCTCGGGGTACAGGAATTGGCCGGGAGAGCAAGCTCTCAACAGCACCCTGTACCCAGGACCAGGCACCCACATGTCCACACAGGCCTGACTGAGAAGGACAGTGGCATACAACTGTCCCTGTCCTCATGACCCCACCCTGGTCCCTCTGTCCTAACCCTGTCTGGACTTACTCAGTGGCCTCAGTGACCAACAGCAGCTAATGTGGATCTAGGTCTCACTAGGGACCAGCGTCTGCACTGGGCTAGGTGTTTTCTGTCCCTGAACTTACTTTATCCTCAGTGACCCTATAAGCAGCGAGGAAAGCTAGGGCTCAGAGTTAAGGGATGTGACCAAGCTCATGTGGAGGAGCTGGGACTCAAACCCAGCGAAGTCTGCCCAAGGCCCGGGCCCTTTACTGAACTGCTTGTCATCACGGCTTCCCTCCTCTCCGCCGTCTCCTCACACCACGTCACCCAGACACTTCAGTGACCCCTCTTCCCCTTACAGACCCTCCTGAGTGAGCATCAAGGTCTGTCACTCCTGCTGTAGCCCAAACAGCACCTGGAATGTGCCCGTCTTCCGTCCACTCGGCCTCAGCCTGGAATATCCAAAGCTCACTTACCTGGACTCACTCGCTCCTTCTGCTTTGAGGCCCCCCAGCATTTAGCCCCTTCCCCCGCACAGCCATTGACCTGGGCCTCTCTCCCCACCAACATTTCCTCTCCTGTGTGTCTGGAATACAGCTACCTGACACTCCTCTACTTCAGGACCCGTGGCACCTCAGGAAGCCTCCATGCCCTCCGTGCCACCACACCACACGTCTCCCCGTCGGCGCCAGGCGGCGTCACTGACCCTGGCCTTCCCACCACCCTGCCCTATGCGCCAGAAGCAAAACCCGGGCTAGGTAGTGCGAAGGGTCAGTCTGTTACCACCTGTAACTATCCGTTTCCAGGCTTACGGCCAAGGTCACACAGGGGGGACGTGGCAGAGCAGGACAAACTTCAGAACCCTCACCCTAAACCCCCATTTCACTTCTGACCTGAGCCTTCCATCTGCAGCCCACCAGCCCAAGGGCTGCCCAGCCAGGCCCCTTCTCCACTCAGGTTCAGAGCTAGCAGGAACTGTGCCTGTTCCCATCGCTCCTGGGCCCGGGGCGCAGACCTCTTGCCCTCACCTTCATGCTGATGATTTCCAAGTCTGCGCCCATGAGCCCCAGGCTCCTGTGGCCCAGGGGTCTCGCTGGCATTTCCAACAGCATCTCAGAGCATCCACAACCAAACCCCTCATTTTACCGCCCACCCTCACCCCTGTAGTTGCTTAGGCCAAACGTCCTGGAGTCTCCTTGACTCCCCTTCTTTCACAGCTCACACTAGCCTTACTGGTCTTCTTTGAAACAGACCGATGCTTCTCTCTCACCCTCTCTGCTGCTACTTTGGTTTACGGCACAGCCTCCCCACTGCGGTCCTGACCCAGCACTCCCCTCCAGTCTATTCTCCACACAGCTGCGTCCATGATTTTGTTAATATCTAAGTCAGATCAGAGTCCCCCTGTGCCCCACCTCTCCCAGGGCTCCCTGTTCATTCACAGCACAGGCCCAAGGCCTTCCCACTCTGCAAGGCCCTGGTCTCGCCCCTGTCACCTCTCTGACCTGCTCTGACCATTCTCCCTGCCTCACCTTCCTCCAAACACACTGACCTCCTTCCTGGTCCTGGAAGAAGCTACGTTCCGCCCCCCCCCGGGCCTTTGCACAGTCTGTTCCTGATGAGACACTTTTCCAGAGAGCCACGTGGCTCATTCTCATTTCCTTTAAGTCTCTGACTAAGTAACCTCCCAGACCACCACCCCATAGATCCCCATCTCTGGTGCTTCACATTCTCTTCCCTGACTCCATTTTCCTGTACTGATACCTATTGGTCTTCTTTATTTTCGGCCTATCTTTCTAGAATGTAAGCTCAGCCAAGGCAGAGATTTGTCTGTTTTGTTCATGACTATATTTCTAGCACCTGGCCAGCGCCTGGGACATAGCAGACACATGGTTTGATCACTCACTTTACAGACACAGAATCTGAGCCCCAGAGGGTCACAGAGCCCTGCTCGGGGTCCCCTGGTTTCAGCTGGTGCAGACCTGACCTGGTTCCAGATCCCACAGCTCCAGCCCTGCTCGGGGCTGCCTGGCATCACAGGACACCCATGACGAGGAGCCTGGCCCCAGCCCCTTGGTGACAGGACCCTTGGCATCTCCGCTCTGCGCCCCCCAAGGTGGGGCCTGACAGACAGATCCCCACATACAACCTGTGACCCTCAGTACTTGGCCCTGGGCTGGGCCCCCAGCAGCCCAAAATCGATCCTTCCAAGCTCTTGGACAGGCCCCAGCCCGCCACGAACCTCCCTGGAAAAGCTGTCCTCCTGCCACCTGGCCCCTCCCTAATGTCCCCAAATCAGGGTACCTTGAGTTTCCGGGGAAGGCGGGGCCGTTTCTCCCGCTTGGGCCTCAGGGGGCTGGGCTCGGGCAGCTGCAGGGCCAGGTAGTCAGAAGGGAATGGGGGGTAGGGGGGGGAAGCCAGCTGCAGGCGGGAATGGGGGATGGAGATGGGAGTGGAATGGATGGGTGGGGGATGAAGGGAAGCAATGCAAACAGGTAGAGGAAGAATGGAAAAACAAGAGATGGTGATGAGCGTGGCTTCTGAGAACAGAAGGGGATGGGACAGCAGCAGGACTCTGTCCTGGGGTCTGCTCCCCTCAGTCATATCTGCCCCCCATTCCTACACCAGAGAGAACTGGGCAGCCCTGGCTCACGCCCCTCCAAGGGGTGCTTGCTGGCCACACCCAGACTGATGTTTCCCTGAGGCCTGGACCCTCTGCCCAAATGACGCCCACCATATTCCCAGGCATCTCAGTTCCCACTTTCCGCCCTTGACCCCAACTCACCGAGCTCAGGTATGGGGAGGGGGCCCCAGAGGCCTGAAGGGGAAACCCTGTTGAAGGAGGCAGGGAGAGGCTTGAGGGGGAGGGGGCACCCCCCAGTGGAGGGCTTCTCTTCCTGGAGAAAGGACAGGGGAAGAGGTCAGAGCAGCCAGGAGGCCCAGTGCCCCCCCCCCCCCGAGAATGATGGCTTCTTCTCACCTCTTGGGGGCTGGTGTGTCCAACAACTTTGGTGTCCCCTCTGTCTCGCTGTTATCTGAAGATGCAGTGGCATCTGAGTCTGGGAGTGGGGAGTCTGAGTTAGTGAGAGTGGATAGGGGTCCGGTCTACCTCAGGGGTGTAACCTCAACTCTACAGAAGGGCTCCAGGGGCTCTGACTCCCCAGTCGGCATGCACAGGCTGTTCTGGGGAGCTCACAAATCCCCCAGCTTCTAATAATGTCCTTTACAACAACTTCCTGCCTAGGCTCCTCCCCAGTAACACACCTGTGCGCACTGGCTGAGCTCTGATCCGGCACTTTACTTCCCCTTGTCTTCATAACAATCCAAGGAGGAAGGTGAGGGCTTCACCTCCACTTCCCGGGTGAGGTCCCTGAGGCCGAGTCAGGTGTGGGGCTGGATTTGAACCCAGGTCTCTGACTCCTTGACCATTTTACACCATTCTCTCCTTATTCACCTCTAAGGTGCCTCGGCTCCTGCCTCTGCCCCACTCCCTCTACCCAGGGACCTGTGAATCTACCTCTCCAACTTCTCCTACCTTTATCCACAGCCCCCCATCCCAACAGCCAAAGGTCAAGCCACCACCATGTCAAAATCAACTGGACAAGCTCACCTCTCTTGCAGCCCACTGTCCACTCCGACTCCAGAATGACCTAAAACGTAAGCCTTCCTGCTGATGCCCCCATGGCCTGCCTGCGAGCATTCGAAAGGCATCTTCAACGCGCCTCAACCTTTCTGGTCTCTCAACCAAACTGTACTCTTCACATCGTGCCCATCAATTTCTCCAAAAATGACATTTATTACCTAGATCTGTGCCTCCACCTAGAAGGCCCCACATTCATTGAACAAATAGCTGCTACCTGTGATACACATCTTTCTCAATCTCTCAGCTCAGACATTCTTTAAGAAGCAAATTAATATAAATGTCTAATCGCTACCTTATATACCTAAAGCTGATACTGTGTGTCAACTATAATTGAAAAAAAGCAAATTAAATGCCACTCAAGAAGTCTTCCGGGATCCCTGAGGCCCAGTTAGTTGCTGGCTCTTACTGAACTCTCTACTCCCCCTTGTCATAGCTCTCCTTACACTGTGCTAAGATATGCCATGTGTGGGCATCTCCCTGACCAGATTGGGGGCTTCTCCAGGATGCGAATGGAAGCTTCTGTCTCTGGCTCGAGCTCCTTAGCTTTACCCCCCTCCGACCATGAGCATCCTGGTTCTCACGCCTCCTGTCCTGAAGTCGCTGTCCGGCAGGAAGTTAATGGGGGACCTTAGGGAAGGAAGAGCCAGACAAGTAGAAGCCAGAATAAAAGCCCCATGTGCTGCCATGACCGGCGTGACCTGGCTCCTTCCTGCTTCTCTGACCTCATCTACCACCTACTATCCTTCTGTAATTCATAAATGGATGTTGTATGTTCCAGTAAAACCTTATTTACAGAAACAAGCAGCGTGGCTGTTTGCTGACTCTGCTCTAGACCAACGTTTAAAGGCACCACGGAGAGAAGCGATTTTATGTGACATGGCTTATGAAGACCCTGCCCTGGCACAGGGGCACAAATGTGAACCTTGGGATTTTTTCAATCTGTAGGTCTCAACTCATTAGTAGGTCATGAAGTCAATTCATTGGTTTGCAACCAGCATTCAATGAAAAAAGAAAAAGCTTTAAAAAATCAGAAAAATTGTATTTAGTAGTCTTATCGTTGTTTCACTCAATTTTGTTTTATAAGTAAGTATGTAAGTGGGGACTTGGTCATGATGTAAAATATATTGATTGTAAATAGTGCTCAAAAACAAAGTTTGAAAACATTGCTTTACTTTCTTTAGCCTTTGTGCTCTTGAGACAACCTGGTATGTTCTCGCTTCAGAATATCTGCATGTATTATTCTCTCTGCCTGGAAATCTCTCTCTCATATTTTCACAAGATTGATTTCTTCTCCTTATCTAGGTCCCAGCTCTAACACTATTCCTGAAAATGGCCTTTCTTGAGCACTCTATTGAGACATTGCCTGCCACCTTAAATTTGTATGGTCTGCAAACTTATAATGACTTTTACATTTTTAAATGGTTGGGATAAAAATCCAAAGAAAATAATATCTCATGACACGTGAAAATTATATGAAATTCAAATTTTGGTGTCCACAAATAAAGTTTTATTGAAACACAGCCGTGCTCATTTATTTACATATTACCTGGGGCTGCTTTTGCCCTATGACCCAACGTTCTGCAAAGCCCAATATATTTGTGATCTAGCCCTTTACAGAAAAAGTTGATCAACCTCTGCTGTCCTCCAATCACTACCACATAACCCTAATTTTAGTCCTTTCAAAATCCAAAATTCTAATGTCTTGCTTATATATTGTCCCCAGCTAGAATACAAATTCCGAGAGACTTTCTCCCTCGTGGCTACCACTGTGCCACGAGGTTAAAAGTTCGATAAATATTTGAGTGAACGAATGGCAGAGGTACAGGGCTAGCAGCGAGGCTTAAGAACCACCCGAAGGTGTGTCAGCGGTCCACGGCCTGAATGGAGAGGCGGGGGAAGCCTGCTCAGGTGTCAGGGGCCCCGCCCTCCACTAATTTTTCACGACCTCGCTCACCAGAAGAGTCTTCATCCACGTTCTCGTACTGCAGGAGGCGGTCTAGGAGGAAACTGAGGCAAGAGGCAGGGAGAACAAGAGCGTTCAGTCCCACCTTGGCAACGCTCTCCCCGGCACTGGTCCCTTTTAACGGGCCCGATGGGTCCGCGCACAGCCCCAGACGTGGATCACCGTGTATGTGTGGTCCCGTTACAGGCTGGGGTCCGAATACTGACCCACGGAGCCACGCCGCCCGCAGGCCTCCCCCATCTCCCCGCAGCCTGTCTCACCTCTTGTCCCGGGAAACCTTCAGCAGTTTCCGCTGCGCCTTCCTCAGTTCTTCCTGGAAGCACTCGTGTTCCTGTATCACAGTCATAGGGCGCGCTGAGCCGACGGCGGTACGGAGCAGGGCCGGGAAGCCGGCGACAGCCCACCCCACTCTGGATCTGTGGGTACACTGAGGTCCTCCCAGCGCGCGGCCTCACCCCGCCACAGCCTCGCCACCCCAGCACTCACGTAGATGAGGAACTTGAGCTTCCGCTTCAGGTTCCGGTATTTCTTCTTGTAGTCCACTTCGCTGTCCGCCGGCCCGTTCATGACCGGGCCTCGGAGCAGCGCCCCAGGTCCGATCCGGAGTCGCGACACTCCAGGCCGGTACAGATCCGCCTCTCAAGCCTCCACTTCCGGCTGTCCATGGGAACTACAACTCCCGGCGTCCCCCGCGCCCAGACATCGTACCCCCCACTGGCTGCCCTCAGGGAATACCGGGAAAGGAACGCGGATTCGAGGGGTTACGCCGAAGGTGGTGTCGCAGCGACGCGATGAAGTCACAAAGATGGCGGACGCTGACGGGAGCTCTTAATTATTCTGAATGTGCTTAGCGTTTGGAAGCCACAAGCTTTCCCCCAGGGGATTTCTACTCTTTAGGCGAGTTTGTCCCTTCTCTCCTGTCTTTCGACAGCACCGCGGAGTCAGCGTCGCGGGTTTATTATGTTACACCCAAAAGTTGCCGGCGCCAAGTCGGTTTCAAACGAGAACTTTAAAAACGATTCGTTCTAAGAAAAGGAAGGAGCCGCGAGACCTCCTCCCTACAACTGCCGGGGAAAGCAAGTTGGATCCGCAACCGACGCCCAACGGTCCCTCCCCTGACCGCGCCGCGACACCCCGAGTGCGCAAGCTGCTGTCAAACGGGCTGACGGGAGGCCCAGAAGAAAAAAAGGCGGGAGCCACCGATCCCTGGCGTTGCAAAATGGCGCGGGAGAAGGAGATGCAGGAGTTCACCCGTAGCCTCTTCCGCGGCCGCCCGGACCTCAGGTGCACTGGAGGTTGTGTGTGGGGTTGGCAAGGGCAGGGATGGGACGGGGACTCTGCCTTGACACGTGTTTCTGCAGCACGCTCACGCACTCCATCGTGCGGCGGCGGTTTTTGGCCCACGCGGGCCGAGACCATCTAGAACCCGAGGAGAAGCAGGCGCTGAAACGGCTTGTGGAGGACGAGCTGCTGAAGATGCAGGTGTGGGCGCGAGCCTGGGCCACGGGAGGCGGGGCTTGTTACCGAGGAGTAGGGGTCGGAGAGGGGGCGAGGCGGACCTCCACCCTGACTCCCATATTGCCCTCTTGATGCACACACAGGTGGATGAAGAGGGTGCCAGGGAAGAAGGGCTACACCGTGCCAAAAAGGCAAAGAGGCCTCCCACCACCCCCTGCAGGGACCCACGAAGAAAAAGGCCCCGTTTCAACTCAGAGTCAGGTTAGTGCCTTCGGCATAGTTGATTAATTGAAAAAGTATTTATTGTGCGTGTGTCCTATCCCAAGGTATTGGATGAGGGTGTGAGGTGAGTCAGGAACCAGGAGCAGGGGACTGACAGCGGTGTGTCCTGCTCTCCTTCCCTCCACCTGTCACAGCAGGATTCTCAAATGGAGGGAGAAGGGACAGGAGGAACTTGTCCCAACCTTCTCTTCTTTCCACATTCCAGAGCTCAGCTCTGCAGCCTCCAGTCCGGACTGCTCAAGCCCCCCAGCTGAGAAGGGGATGGCAGCAGCAGGCAGTCTGAAGGAGAGCCCAAAGCGAGCCTCCAAGAAAGCCGTTGAGAGCATTGATGAGGAAGGACAGCAGAGGGACCTGACTGCAAAGACTGGATTGGAGGAGGCAATGGCAAAGAATGGGGAGGAGAAGGAGGAGGGCTCTGCTAGAGCCAGTAAGGCCTGGAAGGAAGAGAGCAGTGAGGAGGAGGAGGAGGGAAAGGGCTCCAAAGGCAGCATTAGGAGGAAACCTGTGACAAAGAACAAACAGGCCCCCGGCAGGACCTCGCCCAGTAGGGTGCAGTCCATGGAGGTGAGTGAGGGCAGCGAGGAGGAACCTGTTCAGAGGACGGGAAGGAAAGGAGCTGAAAGCCACCAGGAAAGTGAAAAGGAGAGCGAGGAGGAGGAGATGCTAGTCAAGAAGAAAGAGAGCAGAGAGGAAGAGGAGGCTTGTAAACCCAGAGCCCAGAGCAATGGAAGGGAAAAGTCAGCTTGGAAGAAGAGGAACGCTAAGCAGAAAAGCAGAGCAGCGAGACTGCAGGGAGATGGGGGGCACCAAGAGGGAGAGGAGGACACAGCAGCAGCAGGCAGTGGAGAGGACAGTGAGGGAGATGATGAGCCCTTAGGGCAGAGGAAGAGCAAGGACAGGACCCAGGGGGAAGCTGACAAAAGGCAGAGTGGAAGCAGCAAGTACCAGGAAGACAGCGGGAGGAGGCTGAAACCAACTACTAAAGGTACTGGAAAGACAGCCCAAGTGGAAAGTGAAAAGATAGGCAGTGGTGAGGCTAGTGACTCGGAGAGGGAGGTGAGTGACAGTGAGGCAGGGGGGAGTCCCCAGGGGGATAGGAAGAGCCGCTCATCCAGGAAGAGCTCCAAGAAAAGCAGGACATACAGCTCCTCCTCTTCTGCAGACAGCAGTCCAGAGCTCAGAGGCAGGAAGGTGAGGGTGAAAGTGGGCTGGGAGGCCACAGTCGTGGGCAGAGGGGGACCCTGACTGAAGCCCCGGAGGCCTGGCCTTAGTTGCTGTCATTCCTTGCCAGGCAGGGGGCTCTGATCGCTGTGGTGAAGACCACCCTGCTGTAAGAAGGCTAAAGCGCTACATTCGGGCCTGTGGCGCCCATCGCAACTACAAGAAGCTGCTGGGCCCCTGCCGCTCACGCAAGGAGTGCCTGAGCATCCTCCGGGCAGAGCTAGAAGCTCTGGGCATGAAGGGTGAGGCCGGGTGTGCCTGGGGGGCTGTAGGAGGGGGCGGTCGCCAGGGAAGGGAGGCTCATGGGCCTTTTCTGCCTCAGGTAACCCTTCTTTAGAGAAGTGTCGGACCCTGAAGCTGCAGCGTGAGGAGGCAGCTGAGGTAGCCTCCTTGGACATGTCCAACATCATCAGTGGTTCAGGTGAGGCTTCTCACACCCCTCAGGAACACGTGGGGCTTGGCCTTTCCTAGACAGTGAATGTCCCACTCTTTCCCCCCAGGTCGACCACGCAGATGCACAGCCTGGAACCCTTCAGAAGCAGCTGCCCCTGGGGAGCTGTACCGCCGGACCCTGGACTCAGAGGAAGAGTGGCCCCGCCGCCTGCCCCCCGACTGGTCACACATGCGTGGCATCATCAGCAGTGACGGCGAGAGTAACTGACTTTCCCTCGCCCCGCCGCTCCCCACTCTGCCTGTACAGAGCAGCTTCCCCCTCCAAGACTGGCACCCCCCAGGAACACAGTTGTTGGGATCCCCTACTTCTCAGTTTAAAATGTTTACAAGGGTTTGTATTTTAAGATTCAATAAAGGAGTGTTTGACTCACCTTATGGAAACAAGACTCCCACTCACTCCCCTATACTTAGGGCCAGGAACCCGAGGTGTGGCCAGTGTCCAGCTGCCCTCCCCTATCTGGTTCCCTGTAACCTCCCCCAGTTTCTCCAAAGTCCCAGCCTTCAGGCCTGCCACCCAGTCTGCCACAAGTCTGTCAGAGAAGGTGGCTCCTATCCTTCCCCAGCCTGACCCCAGGCCCCTCTGATCCACGCCCCCCACCCGCTTTTAGCTTAGCTGATAACCTAATGCTTCCTTGGGAAGAGGATCTGAATAACAATGAAGCACAAGATGAAATAAGTAGGGACAGCTAGTGTTTGCCTTCCTTCCCCCTTCTTATGGAAACAGCCACTTCATCCATGGACCCCTCTTCTTTCAGCCTTAAAGGGTGGGTCCAGGACCTACACCTGCCCAGTCAGCACCACCCCAGGCCTCTGGCTACAGTGGAGCCAATGGAGTCTCTTCAGGACTTTGGGATTCTTGCTGTTGAGGTTGTGGCAGGAGGTAAGCTTGGCGCTGCCAGGGGCCTGAGCGTTAAGTCAACTTTCTGAAAACCTTGGAAGCCAACGCATAGGTCAAAAGCAGAGGTCAAGACTGATGACTTCCTTTGACGCTGTGGATCCAGTCATGCCCAAAGCCATTAAACTCACTGCAAGTTTTAGTTCCACAGCCCAGTCAATTCTCTTGTTCGATACACGTCCACAGTATCAGCTGCCACTGACCAGTCCTTCACACACACCTTAGCCAGAAACGGGGAGTCCTGGGTCTGTTAGAATAACCAACAGTTTATTAAAAGCTTGCCATGGGGCTCTGTGCTAGCCCCGCAGCTGGGAGGGGGCGCCCGTGACTGCCCCCAGACCTGGGAGCAGCCCCTTCCAAGGCCCTTTCCTTGTTCCCCTGCCCCAGCTCTGATCTCCATTAAAAAAAAAAAAAAAAGGACAAGACGGCACAGGACGTCAGACGGCAATGGGAATGAAGAGACCCAGGCATCCTGACCCCACGACCCCCTCCTGCTCCCTTTCCTAGGAAAGCCTTCCTCCTGTTCTCCCCACCCCAGGCCCAGACTCGCTCTGCCACATCCCAGGTCCAGGAGGCCTGGGATCCCCAGTCCATGGGTCCATGGCTCCATTGCAGAGGGTAGTATAGTTCTGTGAATATAATGTATCTAGACCCACCCTTCCCCTCCCCGGGGACTAGATGAATATTTGACACACACACACACACACACACACACACACACACACACACACACACACACACACACACACACACACACGCTGTCTCCCTCCTTCCCCCAGGCTGTGATGGAGAGAGACCCTGGCACCATGGTGGGGAGGCCGGGGCTCCCGGTCAGCCTCGAGGCACCTATGCCCAAGCTGACCCCAGGCCACTGGCCAGCCCAAGAAGCTCATGAGATGAGGACGTTTGAGGGGAGCTGGAACCAACCTCCGCCCCCCCACCCGTGGGCGGGCCTAGCGCTCACAGCCCTGTGGGACTGGGCTCCACCCACCCCTGCCCCTGCCCCTGCCCCTTCATCTGCTCAGTCACCTGGCACCTCAGGAATAGAAGTGGGAGGAGCCATTGAGGATGTGGGAAGCAACACTGGTGCTGCGGCTCAAGGGCCCCGGCACTGCGGCAGCGGCTGGGCCCACAGTGTCGCTGCCACTGCCCCCAGAGGCTGCCCGCCGCAGGGGCTGGGGGCTGTTCCTTAGCAGCAGCAGGGCCCCACCACGGGGTGTCCCACTCTGGGCTGGGGGGCCCAGCCAGTTTGGGGGACCTGGGGGAGCCAGCAGAGAGGGCTGACGCCAGGCTGGGGGGGGCATGCCTGGTGGGGGAGGGCCATGGCTCCAGTGTGCCCCAGAACGGGGGACAGGACGGGAGGGCCAGGCAGGGGCAGGGGGTGGAGCAGGGTAGCCCTGGGCAGCAGCCTCAGCCGGGATGCCCCCCAGAGCCATACTGGAGAAGCCCAGCCTCATGCTCTCAGCATCAAAAGCCTCGATCTCCCTGGCCTGCCGCTCGAGCAAGCTCCGGATTCGCTCGGAGCGCCCTGTCTGCAGGGCCAGCAGCTCCTCTTCCACCTGAGCACCCAGAAGAGAGAGCAGAGTCCAGCGCGGGCGGGAGCCACGCGCGCCCCACCCCGCCCCGTAGGCAGAGCCCCTTACCCGCTGCTCCAGCAGCGCCCGCCGCAGAGCCACCCTCTGCTCCAGCTCCCGCAGTTCCCTCTCGTGCTGGCTCTCCGTGCGGATCTTGATCTTGCTCTGGTAGGCATTGAGCAGCTCCAGTTCCTGCTGCAGCTGCTGCCGAAGCGCCTGGAACTCTGCCTCTTGGGTCTCATCGAGCCGCAGCTGGGAATGGGAGGGGCGCGTTTCAGGCCGGCCCCCACAATCCTCCCTTGCCCCAGGTAGGCCTGGCCCTAAGGTTTCAAACAGCAGCCAGTCTCCACATCTATGGAAATGAAAAGTGGTCATACCCCGTGACACAGCAATTACACTTCCAGAATTGATGCCCTAGGAATACTGGCACCTGAGCCCGCAGGTGCTCACTGAGGCACTGTGACAGCAAAGTGCTGGAAGCAACCTAAACATCCACCGATAGGGACGGGTTAAATATACATGGTGCGTCCATACCAGGGAAAATTCTAGGCTGTCACAAAAACAACATCGCATACTGACGTGGAAAGATGTCCAAGAAACAGTAGGTGGGAAAAAAAAGTCAGAGAACGGTATGTAAAGCGTGATACCATGTTTTGCTTAAAAGATTGTATATAACTTTTCAAATATACAAAGGAACAAAGTCTAGTGCAATGAATTATTAACAAGTTACTTCTGAGAGGTGGGACTGAGTGAGAGAATGGCAACACGCAGGTACTTCTACTTTTCACACCATGTGTGTATTTTACGTCACCCATTTCAGTGTTACATGTGATCATTTTTACATCAGCAACCTTCAGAATCCTCCCGAGGCCTGAGGGCCACAAGCATTTTGCTTTGCTCCCTGTTCACTTAAGCTAACTCGGGCTCAAGAAAAAAATTACAGCCACTCTTTCCTTGGTGGTTCTTGATAGAGTGGGCAGGCTGGCCTTGAAAATACTTAAGAAATGTCATAAAACCATTGCGGAGTGGCTAATACTAAACTAATAGTGGGAGTACCTGAGTTTCGCAGCAGCCAAAAGCCCTATCCCTGTCCACACCCCCCCACACCCATCGCCCAACCACCCGACCGACCTCCTCCATGCCGCCTCCCTGGACCCCGGGCCTCACCGCCTGCGAGCTGAGCATCTCTGAGATGGACTGGTCATACTGCTCGGCTAGGATGGCCAGCTTGCGAGTCTGCTCTTCCTTGAGCCGCTTGAGGAGGCTCTTGTGCTGAGCTTTGGGTGTGGTCTCCAGCAAGTGTGCCCGCAGAGCCTTGTACTGCCGAGTCTGGATCTTACACGTCTCCTGGAACTGCTTCTTGATCTGCAGCTCCTTAGACTATGCAGTGGATGGACCGAGGGGAGATGGGGGCGGAGGGGAGGGGAGGGGGGGAGGAGGAGGAGGAGAAGGAGGAGGAGGAGATGGAGGAGGAGGAGGAACGACCAGGGCAGAGGGGGAGAAGAGAAAGAGGAGGAGACAGAGCAGAGACAGGGAGAGGAGGGAGAGAAACAGAAAACATGTTAGACAGAGGGGGCGGGGGGAGCTGTAATACAGACAGACACGGAGAGATGGGACTGTGTTGAGAGATATCAGGAAGATCCTCGATGGGCAAGAGAGGCAAGGAAAACAAGATAGGTTCAGAGTCGGGCGGAAAACTCGGGAAGACAGCAGGAGTTCACGGACAGGGAGCTGAGGCTCTTAGAGTACTGAGTGCGTACGAGAAGTCTGACCATGCAAAGAGGGAGACATATGACCTAGACAGAGGCATGTGAGCACAGAATGTGCAAAAGAGTGAAAAGACCGAGTCATACAACACACCCACAGAAGAGGACAACACAGCTAGACAGAGGAAGGCCTAGGTTCAGCACCTCGGGGTGGGAGGGAGAGAGGGAGAAGCACCAAGCTGAGAAATGGATAAGAAGGGTGGCCCCCTCTCGGGCCACAGAAGGGAAAGGGGTGAAGGAGGTGGCCAGAAAGGGCCTGACAAGGTCAGTAGGCCAGCAGCTGCCACCCTGATCAGACCCCCATGTTACGCACTCAGCTCCCATTCCAAGCCCACAGCCAACCCCATTTCCATGACCCCCCACATTCTCTGCCTGGACCCAGACTCACCACCCCCTACTGTGGAGCGTGTCCAGTCCCATCCCCCAGTCCTCTAGGGTAATGCCTGATGCCAGGAGAGAAATTCAGCTCCCAGAAAGAAGTGAACCGCACAGGGAAGAAGTTGGGAGATAAAGCAGGGGATGAGGACAAAAGGACCCGGAACCCAAGGACGCTCTGGAAGGAACCCATAAACAGGGCAGCTATGGGACCAGGAGGTTCTGTGGAAGTTCAGCGGGGTCCAGGCCCCCGAGCTGGTGGTGGTCATGATGGAACGAAGCTATGAAGGCAGAGAGGATGAGGCTGAGGGAAAGGGGCTGAGATAACGGAGATGGGGTGAACAGGTCATGGAACTGGGGACCAAGGGTCCAGACTGGGGGCATACCGGGGAGGCTAGGCGGCAGGACAAAGCAGACAGAGGCAGCCTGGGCCAAAGGTACAGTTCCGCTCAGATCTTTTATTTGTGTTTCTCTTTTTCTTTTTTTGGTGGGGGAAAGGGGACAGGTTGGAAGGGAGACAGGAAAACAAAATCAAAGAGAGAGAAAAAAAAACCATGACTGTTCCCACGCCCCACAGCCCCTGACCCCAGGCCCGAGTCAATGAGGGTGAGGATGAGCACACACAGCGTGAGAAGAGCAATAACTTAGGGTGAGGGGGGGTGGGCGTCAGGAGCACAGAGTGGGACTCTCGGCCACCACGTGGAGGAAGCTGCCTGCCTAGAGGTGCCCAGGGCTGGAGGTGGGGAAGCACTGAGGAAGGA